AAAACATTCGAATTCGATTCTATTTTGACTTCATATACAACCGACATACACACAAACAAATACATTCACCGAAACAGGACGGATCAAGTCAAAATAGAATCGAATGTTTACCTTTTTTTTCTATTTGTTTTGATAAATTTGATTTTTTGTTTTGTTTTGTTTTTTTTTGTTTTTCAATCAAAAATTGATGTTTATTTTTTTCAAATTCATGTTTAATGTCGTTAGCATCATCATCATCATTATGATCATCATGATGTAATTTGATAGAAAATTGTTTAGTTCAAAAATCATCATCATCATCGGATGATGATGATGATGAAATTAAATTACACCCTAACCACCAAACCACTGATGATTATTATATCATTTTGGTGATGGTTGTTGTTCTGTGGCCAAAATATCAATTTCAAATTTCTCTTTTATTGAAAACAAAAACAAATTAATCAACGAAACAAAAAATCGATCATCCATCCAACAATCGATTGTAGTTACATCAAATTTCTCGTAAATCGAATCAAATTTATCGAAAAAAAATGATTTTTCTCCCAAATCATCATCATTTTTGATTGTTCAAATGTCATTTGATTCAAATAATAATTCCTGGTAAGCAAAGATCTGTATTACATTAATGTAATTGAATTTTTTTCTGTTTGATTCGATTGAAAGGTAAAAAAATAACGAAAATTTTCATTATCATCATCATACGAAAATGAATGATGATGATGATGATGATGAAAAAAATGAATATTTTCGTTTGACTGAAGAAACCTTGACTAACGACTTTTTTGACTATTCCGAATATGATGATGATAATGATGATGATCATCATCTTTCGCATTTCTTTACCAACAAAGAGAAAGAAAAAACTTATCATCATCATCAACATCGAAGAAGGAAAAGAAAAAGACAATCTTGACATGGCCTGACCCTACAATAACGAAGCAAAGAAGAAAAAAAACGTTGTTGATAATGATAATAACGACTAAAAGAAGAAAAAAAAACTAAAATAATCGATTGGTGCGCGCATAATTACCGGTTGTTGTTGTTGTTATTATTATTCGGATCTTACAAATGATGATGATGGACCTCGAAACATTTTGTTATCGTCTTGTGAAAGAATTCTTTTCTTTTCAATCCAATAATGATAATGATAAACCCTGATGTTTTTTCGTTTTGTTTTTTCATCGTCCTTCCTTTCAATGAAGCTGATGATGAAATTAAGACCCAACAATGGAAAAAATGATTTCTTATGATGTTTTCTTTTCTTTCTCTCTGGCGACATAATGATGATGATGATAATTATCAACAAAAACAAGAGGATGGTCATTTTTTTCGCTCAGTTTTTCCTCAAGACAACCGACATAATTTATATAGGATTTTTGTGAAAAAAAAAATTTTTTTTTGACCAAACAGAAAAAAAAGGTAAGCAAAAGAAAAAAAATCATAAATCTTTCCCGTTTGTTTCCCCCTCCCCCGCTTGTTTTCTACTTTCACCCACAATCATCAATAACTTTATGGGCCATATATTTTTTTTCGCAAACCAACCAAAATTCAAATAATGGTGACATACAATCGAAATATTCGTTTACGTTTCATATTTTTTATTATTTCTCGTTTTATTTATTATTTCAATCAGAAAAACATAAATTTTGGTTACCATTGGTTACAAAATATATTCGTTTCGTTGCGGTTGGATCATAATCATCATCATCATGATGATGATCATCATTCATAAATATTGCCACCATCAGGACAAAAATCAACCAGGTAAGTGTGTGTGCTTCGTATACAGAATATAATTATTATTATTATGATCATCCATAAGCTTGCTTGCTAGAAAATATTGTCCAATTTGCATTGGTGGTTTTCTCTCTCTTGTCATAAATTATTTTGTGACTTTTCTCTTTGTGACCATCATCATCATTATAATAATATTATGGAAAAACAATTTTTTCCTCGATTGAAAAACAAAAAAAAACAGTGTCAGAATGAATGTGAAATAGAATTGAATATATTACACCCTAGTAATGTTTTGTTTTTTTTCACCTGCGTTTTTTTGATGACATTATGATGATGATGCTTTGGTATATGGTGTTTATCCATAACATTTTATGATTTTGCCATCAAATTTTTTTTTGTTTGTTGATATTTACAGAGAAAAAAGGGCTTGGCCATTGAGTGTGAATGCAAAAATGATGAAAATTAAAAAATTAATTAAATTAGCAAAGATGATTTGTTTGGTGAAAATGTCAAATGAAAAATGTCATGTTTGGTTGATGCATATATGCATTGCTGGCAGCGAATGTGTTAAAAAAAATTGAAAATTTTTGCTATTTGAAAAATGTCACACCTCTGTTAACCGCCTTCAACTACTAATCATTTGTATGTATGATGATATGGGAATAGTGTTGTCTATAAGGATGGACATTTTTTGTTTGTTGGCTAAAGCTTTAGCTAAACTTAATGTCAAAATTAAAACAACAAAACTATGAAAGAATGAAACAAACAAAAACAGAAAAAAAATTCACCAGCCCAAAAATATGAAGGCGAGAAAATTGTTTAATAGACGCCAAACATAACAGAATGATCATCATCATCATCATCAAATTGATATATAATATTGGCAGTCAAGAGAAAACTGCAACTAAATTGTTGAATTTTTAATAGAAATTCTCCTGATGATGATGATGATGATGATCGATATAAAATGAATCAACAACGAAATGAAATGAAAATGTGAATGAACTGGACTAATGTATGTAGTCTATATATTGCGTGTGTGTTGTGTTATGTTATTATACGCCAACCCAGAAATTATTTTTACTTTTTATATGATGATAATAATAATAATAATAATCATAAATTTTATTGTGGAATTTTTTTTCAGTTTCTTCTTCTGAGAATATTCTGATAAATATTCTGATAAAAGCAAAACCAAATGGCGCCATGATCCATTTCTATCATTTGATTCTATTGTGGTATTATATAGATTGAAAATAGAGTAGTGGCGATAGCGGCGGCGGCGGGAGAATGTTTGATTCATTTGGAACTGAAGGAATTTTTTTTTTGTTGAGAAAAGTTTCTAGCAAATGTTTTCTGGAAACAATTTTCTCAGCAAATTCTAATTCAGAATATTATATATTGAACAGAAAAACAAGAAACTATTGCATAATCAAAAACATAGAGAACAGACAAAGATATATAATTCTCTCTGTTTCTCCCTTTCGCTAATTTATATAAAAGTTAACAAGAGAAAATAATGATAATAATTCTGGTTTTTTCAGAAATAATGTGAATTTGGCAGGCTTGGCTTGTTTTGTCTTGTCTTTTTTTCGATGCCCGAAAAGATTTTTCTATTTTCTTTTCTTTTCTTTCGAAAAGAAGAAAAATTCCTGTTTCTCCCTTGTGTTTCATTCATTCATTTCATTTCTTTTCATTTCATTCAACCGATTCTAACAATCAAAACATCCACATTCATTATATAACAACGAAGACGAGAGAAAAATGAAAAAATTTCTCCATTGAATTATATCATCATAGGCAGCCATAGGAATTGAACTTAACAAATAAAATCTTTATCAAAAAAAAATTTCGTTATGTAATTTTCATGTTTTCGTTTCGTTCGTTTTGTTTGGGAGGATGTGTGTTGTAAAAGTATTTCGAATCTTAATGTTTTTTTATTTTGCTATTCGGTTCACTTGAATGGTTGGTTGGTTGGTTGGGTTGATTTAACTTTGACTTTGATGCGCGCATATCTGTAAGGCTGGTTTGTTTGGTTTGGTTTGGTTATTTTCTGGCGTTCAGGTTCGGGTATTTTTTTTTTTGAAAAATTTTACCACTACGACGATCACGAATGATGATGATCGAATTGAAACGAAAAAAATGCCAGCAAATGAAAAAATGCAAGCCGAAAAAAACCAGCCGAGAAAAAATATATATAGAGAGAGATATACACGAAATTGAAACGAGAAAAGGCAAAAGATTGTGTGGTAGGATCTCATCATTATCATCATCATCATCATTGAAGATATTTATGCAGTAAAAAAGCAGCTGCATATAATTTTCGTTCATTCATTCATTCATTCATTCGTTTGGTTGGTTGGTTGATTGCCCAACAGCACACATGATGAGAATCTTTTTTTCAAAAAAAATATTCAGTTCTAATCCAACATTCATTCAGTGATGATCGTTGCCGAAATCTCAAATTTTGTGTTTTTCCACATGTTCATAGATTTTCGATTGGTTTTTTTTGAAAAAAATTTCACCGCGTATTTTCGATTGGATATTCAGTCGAAGTTCAGTGATTCAGTTTTTTCTGAATGAAAAATGAAAAATTCTTGGAAAATTATGAAATCTGGTTTTCTTTCTTTGAATTTCATATTTAATCATCTTCTGAGTGGTGGTGTTTAGTGTTTGTTGTGTTTATAATATCTTGACATTGTTGATTGATTGATCTGGATCAGATTTTTCAGTTTTTTTTCTTCCCTGTGCTTTTTTGGTGTCTGTCGTGGTGTTATCTTATCTTTTTCCAAATAAAAAAAAAGATTCAATTCAAAGAAATTGGATTGTTTTTCTGTTTTGTTTTGTTTTTCGGTTGTTGATTATTTAAATTCAGATGTGAAAAAATGTTTGTGTTTGTATGACCTTTTGATGGTTGGTTTGGTGACCTATGATTTTTGATTGATTTTTGTTTTTTTTTGACTTCTGGATTTTTCATCAAAAAATCAAATTTTGACATTTTCCATTGAATTCAACAAGGAAATGTCTTTGTCAACAAGATTTCATTGAAAAATTTGTGTTTTCTGTTTTTCACATTTCGCTATATATTCACATGATTCAAATGTCGACCAAAATCATCTCTTGACATCGACAACAACAACCAAAAATTTCTAATGGAATTTTCATTTTCTTCTTTCAGTGGAAATTAAATTATTCCATATTCCATATTGAATGTAATTCAAATGATGAAAAGATGATGTTCACGTTCATCATCAGTTCATCATCATCTTTGGATCATCAGCTAATCTAATTTGCCTAATTTTAAGTGAAAAACGATAACGACAACGACATTGCCGGAATCGTCACACACACACACACGAATCATGAATCAATTAACTGTTATGCTGAATGGTAATACAACAGCAGCAGCAGCAACTAATCAAAATGCTGCTGCAAATCATCAATATTTTACATTTCAAACAACAAATCCTCAACAACAACAAACAGGTTCAACAATTAATCAACAACAACAACAAACGGCTACTGGTGTTTCAATTGATCAACAACAACAACAACAATTGATTACAATACCGGCAGCAGCATTTGCATCAACAACACCACCTGTATCCGGAACAAATATTATGTTGACCAATAATAATAATGGTGGACAACAACAACAAATGTTAGCCGCATCAACAAATCATCAGGGATTTTTACAACAAGCATCAAATATTTCACAACAAACACCGGCTACAATACAATATATAATTACACCCACATTGCAACAACAACAACAACAACAAACACTTCAAAATCATCAACAACCTTATGGTGGTAAGTAATTTCTTACAATTGATTTTATCCATTTGAAATATTTAACGGGATGTTTTTTTCAGGTTTAATATCCAATTTGATGGCACCTAATCATCAGATAAATATGATACCATTCAATCAGGCAACAACAACATTACAGGGAACAATATTACAGCCACAATTAATAGCTAATGGATTACAACCAACATTTATTCAACAACAACAACCAACATCAACGTTTCATATACAAACGGCTGCTGGTACGAATTCTATTACGAATAACGGTACGCCTACGGCCCAAACGCAATTGTTTCAACAACAACAACAACCACAACAACAATTTCAAGTGATAACAGCAACACCTCAACAACAACAACCATCAAATCATAGTGCATTGACCAATAATAATAATGGTGCAATAACATTTCAAACAAATCAATTGATCGGTTTACAACCATCATCGATTTCTAATCAGATTGGTCAATTGAATCAACAACAACAACAGTTTATTTTGAATCCAACGATAACATCGACAACGCATCAACCGCAACAACAGCAACAACTATATCAATTAGTTTTACCATCAAATCATCAGTTTTTACAATCGGCAACAATGTTTCAACAACCAACAACATCGATGATAACATCCGCTGGACAATTAATAACTCATCAACAACAACAACCGACTGCAATAACGGTGCCTATACAACAACAACAGCAACAACAAATTCATCAAAATGGAACATTATTAACAACCGGTAATCTTACATTTCCAATTGGTCAACAACAGCAACTTATGGGAACATTTTTAACGCAACCGCCAGTGCAACAAACTTCAACATTACCAACAATGAATTCTGCCATTATTCATTCACCGCAACAACATCAACAACAACAATCATCCAATATTTTCAATCAATTAACAATACAGCCATGTTCTTCAGCAAATTATCATCAACAACAACAACAACAAAATAATTCAAATACAATTACATTGATTGCAACAGCATCGCCTACAAATATTACGAATTTATCATCTTCATCATCATCACAATCATCGACAAATGTCACGACATCATTATCATCATCATCTATGAATGTTAGTGGTCATCATCTGCCACATCAACCAACATCTTCGGTGGTCAATAATAATTCATCAGTTAATAACATCAACAACAATTCAACATCGACTACAGCAATGATGGTTTTTACATGTTCAAATGCTGCTGCTGCTGCTGCCGCAGCATCATTATCATCAACAGCTACAAATACAAGTGATACCGGCAAACAACAATCACCATTGATAATGTTTGATCAGCATCATCATCACAACAAACCAACATCGATCAAATCAATAAACAAAAAAAGTTTTTTAGAATGTCCACCAACATTGAATTCGAATGGATGTCGATCATCATCATCATCATCATCATCATCATCATCAACATCGACAACAACAATAACTTCAGGTCAAACTGGATTCCCATCCAAGGCATGTACTAAAGAAGAAAATCATATTATGAATTCAACATCAACATCGACAATAATTACGCCCAAATTATCTTTTACCAATGTTGAACATTTTGATAGTAATAATGTGAAAAAAGATTCTGCCAATCATCATGATCATGATCAAAATACGCCATCTTCTGAAGAAAATAGTCAAAATACAACGGTGAATGACCAGAAAATGACTGAAAAAGATGATTTGAATGAAAAATTGAATAGATTATCATCATTATCACCACCTACACCATCGATAGAAACAACATCGTTAGCAACATCACCAAGTCAAACATCATCAACTATTATTCAAAGACCATCATCGGTTACTTCATCATGTGGTTCATTGAAAATAGCCGACGATGATGATGATGATGATGATGATGATGACGACGATGATAATGATGTGGATGATGATTATGCGGATGAATATGATGGTGGCGGTAATGGTGAAAATAATAATAATCAAAAATCGAATCAAAATGGAAATGAAAATGATGAAAAAAATCAACATCCTAATGTAAAAATAAGTCGAAAACGAGCTAGATCAATCGATAGTTTGATAAATGATGATGATGATAGTACGGATGAAACGGAAGAAATGGATCTTGATAGTGTTGCAACCGAAATCGATAGTGATTGTTGTAGTCATAAAGCTGTTAATAATAATAAACAAGAATCGGATACGACTATATCGACTATAACAACAACAAAAACAACATCAGCCACTATAACCGATTCGCGAATAGAATCATTGAATAATGTTAATCAACAACAACATTTGAATAAAAAATCAAATGATGAAACAAAAGATGGTTATCAAAGTAGTTATAGTGGTTCACCATGTCATTTTACCGATACTGAAGATGAAGAAGAAGAAGATGATGATGCTGATAATGTAAATGTCGCCTCAAATTTAATTACAAATGGACAATTGTCAATTGAATCAATGAATGGTGAAATGAAATTAATACGTCGTAATGGTCTTACACAAGCTGCATATAATCTAATTAATAATCGTATTTTAATGAGTAGCGAAGATGATAATCTAACAATTGCATCGATTGAATCAACACAAACTAATGATGAAATATCAGCTATAAATGTTAATAAACAAAATAATAATAATGAAAAACAATCATCATCGTCGTCGTCTTCGTCTTCGAATAACAACAATGATTCAACCACGAATCGAATATCCATTCAGATACAAACATCATCAATATCATCACCATGTTCTATTCATTCGAATGGTAGTAGTTTGATTGATACAACAACTGAATTATCGACAACACCTACACCAACATCATCTTCATCATCATCAAATCCACCATTGATCTCATCAAAAGGTAAAAGATTGATTATTTTCTTGATTGAAAATTTCATTTTTCTCTATTTAAACAAAAATTTACAGAACGAGCTATTTGGACACCAGAAGAACAACAGCTGGCAAATGAAATACAAGAATTTGCTAAAACATTTAAACTTTGTCGATTATCATTAGGTTTGACACAATCACAAGTTGGACAAGAATTAAGTGCATTAGGTCCTTGTTATAGTCAAAGTGCAATATGCAGGTAAAATTTATTTTAATTTTGTCGCTTAAATTGAACTAAAATTGACAATTTTTTTTAGATTTGAAAAACTTGATATTACACTGAAAAGTGCTAAAAAAATTAAACCAGTATTAGAAAATTGGATGCGTGAAGCGGAAGAAAAATATCGTCATAATAAAATTATTGGAAATGTTGTAACACCAGAAGCATTGGTTAATGGATTAAATAATTTTTGTAAAGATAAGGATAATAATTTATTATCATCATCGTCTTCATTGTCGATAGCACCATTATCATCGTTTAAAATAAGTTCAGCATTAGAATTAGTCAACAATATTGGTGCTAAAAATCATAATCATAACAACAACAACAACAATCCAAATGTCAACAATGATCAACGAATTGGCATTGTTGATTCAATGAATAAAGAATCATCACAATCACCATCACCATCGTCTTCGTCATCAGCAATGATATCATCGAATGTAAACATTTATAAAGCATTTATGGAAACAAATAAAAAACGTAAACGTCGTACATCGTTTACACCAAGCGCTATTGATGCATTGAATAATTTTTTTGAACAAAATAATCATCCAAATGGTGAAGAAATGACAAAAATATCTGAAATATTAAATTATGATCGTGATGTTGTACGTGTTTGGTTCTGTAATAAACGACAAGCAACAAAAGCAAAATGTAAAAATGATTTAGACAATTCAACAACAACGATAAATTCTAATCAATCACAATCAATATCATCGATAAATAATGATCAAAAATCAAATAATTCCGGTACGAAAGTCACTTTATTATCAACGAATGATGTAAAGACATCATCATTGGAGACGATGCCATTAGGACAATCATCATCTTCATATACAAACTTAACACTGCCACAGCCATCATCATCAATTGGTGATGGTGGTCATAATCAATTTTTTCGTCCAATACATCCATCACATGGACAAGCATTACGAAGCTCTTTATCGAATGTTATTGGAATGACCAATGGTCATGATTCAATACCATCCGTAGCAAATATTGCACCATTTAGTTTAGGACGATCAACAACGACGACAACAACAACAAATTCCATTGCCAATGAAAATCATTCAAAAATTAAAGATATGGAGAAAAAAATTATTAAATAATTTCATTTGTAAAATAATTGAAACAGAAAAAAAACATAATTTGTATCATTATAATAATGTAAAAATTTTTAAATCAATGTAAATATTTAAAAAAATAAACCACTTTTTTTGAAAACAAAAATTTTTTATTAATCATCTTTGGTGTTTCAAGAAAATATTCATTTATTATTATTATTTCATTTAAGCCAAAACAATTTCAGGTTTAGGTCAATTTTAGGTTTTTCGGTTTAGGCAAGACATACACACATACGTAGAAAAGTCACAACCATTGATTTTTGATAAAAATTGATAATGCTTTGAATAAATCATTCAATCAGGTTAATTTTCTATAGAAATAATTATCATCCTAAACTATACAAACAAACAAATATCGAATTGAAATTTAGTTCCAAAAAAAAACAGCACACAATGGAAAATAATAAATATATTTTTGTTGTTTTGAAAATTAAAAAAAAAAGAAAATATTTTAGTGTAATAATAATCAAAAGTCAATACGGATGATGATGGGTGGAATTATAATCAAATTCGGATCATCATCATCATCATTTGGAAATAAATTACAGGCATTCAAACATACAAACACACACATAAAAATAGATGATAAATTGGGCACAAAATAATAATAATAATAATAATAATAATAATGTTTAAAAATTCAATTAATTAATTAATAACAATAATAATAATGATGATATTGTTTTAAAAAGTGAGAAAAAAAACACTAAAAATTAAATAGTGAGATTTTGTTGTTTTTTTTTAAATTTCTTTCCTTCATATTTTTTTGTTTTGTTTTGTTTTGTTCACAACACATTAGGTCGATAATTTATGAATAATAAAATAATTTGTAAATATTGTTTGTTTTAAAAGACATTTGAGATAGACAGATTGACACCACCGATTGACAAAATTTTTGACTAATCGAATTCAGGAATTCATTTTGTTCATTTATTTATTGTATCGAATTGCTACTACTACTTTGTTCGGGTAGAATATATGATATATCATCCCATGGATGACGATATAATCCTTGTTTCAATCGTTTTTGATCCAAATAATGTCCTAGAAAATTAATTTGTAAAAAAATGAAAATAATTGAAAACAAATAAAAAAATCAAAAAAAACATACCAATAAAACCGATAGTTCGTCCAAGAACAAAAAGTCCATTCAATACACCAATATCCAAATATTCTTGTGCTTCTTCACGTGTAAAACAGCCACTATTACGAAGAAGATCAACAACCGATACGGCAACAATACCATCAACATTAAGAATTAGATTAGGTTTCTATATGAAAAAATTTCAAAATCATTATATTGGATGCTAATAAATTTCCGAATAAACAAACAAACCTTTGATGTGGTTACTTTTTCCACTTCAAGTGCATAATCCAATACTGGTGTCAATGGAAATGTTTGTTTAACATAATCTTTCATTAATTTAACTCTCATATCAGGATTATTAATAGATTTGACTCTATGACCGATGCCCATTATAAGTTCACCTTTTTTACGCATTTGATTAACAAATTCCATAGGAATTATATTCGAATCATATGCTTGGCTAAATTGTCGTGCAGCACCATCCAATGCACCACCAAATCTTTCACCAATAGTCAAAAGACCAGAAACCAATGATGAAACAAGATCTTTACCAGCACGAGCACATACAATTGTATTATGGGCACCAGATACGGCTGGTCCATGATCAGCAGTTACCATAAGAACCATTTCGAAAAATTTTGTAGCATAAGTAGGCAAACGTCGTTGAAACCATAACAATGATAATGTACCACCAATACCTAATTCTTCTTTAATCACACGTGTAATCGGTATGCCAGCATATGTTAATTCATTTCCACGTTCATCACAAATGGTTGTCATAAATGAAGCAGGTTTACGAATAATACCTAATTCACGTGCCCAATCATAATCCATTGGAACGGTTGGTGGAGCAACTTCTTCTTTAGGAACAATAATCTGTGCTTCAACCAATTGTTGATAAACTTGATTAATAACATTACCAAGTTCATCGAATGTATTCGGTACATGTGCACCATGTTCACGTAATGCTTTATTTTTAGCCACAGCTGTTTCATGATCCGAATTAGCACAAGCACCGGCATGTCCAAATTGTACTTCCGAATTGAACATACTGGCACATGTTCCAATACACCATGCAATCAATGGTTTTGTCAATCGACGATCTTTTATTGCATCACAAACATCATATTCTTCAACACCACCAACTTCACCAAGTAATACCATCATTTTGACTTCTGGATCAGCTTCATAACGTAATAAATGATCCAAAAATGTTGTACCAGGATAACGATCACCACCAATAGCAATACCTTCATAAACACCATTTGTTGATCGTGAAATAATATTATTCAATTCATTTGACATTCCACCTGATCGAGAAACATATGCAACCGAACCAGGTCTATGAAGTTTTGAACTCAATAAATTATCCATCATACCGCCAGTATTACCGATCTTGAAACAACCGGGTTTAATACCGCCAACAGTTGCCGGTCCAATTACTGTTACACCTTTTGAACGAGCCAATTTAATCATTTTACGTGTAAGATTTTCCGGTATTCCTTCAGCAATTATAGCTATAGTACGAATTTGTGGAAATTTCAATGTTTCCAATGTTGAATCATATGCTGAACGTAATGATGCAAAACTTATCAATACATCTGCTTGTGGATGTTTATTCATAGCATCGGACATATTTTTATAAACTGGAATTAGAATTTCTTTATGACCCCAATAAAATTTTTGTCTATGATCACCGGAAAATGGATAAATCATTGCTACAACTGACCATTCTTTACGTGAACAGGCAAAATCAAAATCAAGCATCGATTGTACGGCTCGGCTTTGCATTCCCCAAACAATTGCACGTGTACGTGATGTAAATAATGGACGAGTAAATTTTGTTGTTTGTGATGAGATTGGTGGTGGTGAAAATACAGGTGAAAAACTACTATTAATTGATGGTGATGTCATACCTCCACCACCGTTAAAGCCAGGTGAAAAAGCATCGGCACCCATATGGCTTGGTAGCAAAAAATTTGCTGTTGTCAATTTTGTTTCAGGCAGTTTAGGAATTTCTTTTCGTTTCAATGCCATTGCTACAATGGCAGTCATATGTGTTTCTGGACCGAAAACATGTACAGGTACACCTAATGTGTTACCAGTTTCACGCATCACACGTAAACCTTCCTGATAATTTGGCCCAGCACGACGTACAAAAATTGATACATTATGTTCGATTAATTTGGTTTGAAATTCTCTCAATGCTTTGACAATTCCTTTAAATGTGGCAGCAACATTAGTAAAATTAGCAATACCACCACCAATAAGTAATATTTTGCCTTCTGGATGTCGTTCTTTGGTCATCAATGATAAAATTGTTTTTGCATATTCATATGTTTGTTGTTCGGAAGGAGCACCAGAATATTCACCATAATTGGCTAATTCTGATGCACCACCAAGTTCACAAATAGTATCGGCATAAATGACTGAAGCACCACCACCAGCAACCATTGTCCAAATACGACCTTTTTTATTCAATATGGTCAATTTTAGACTGGCACCAGATTTTGAATCAAGATCAGCAATATAAGCTTCTTCAGGGAATGCATCACGTCCAAATGGTGGTGGAAATGCAATTTCACCCCATTTTTGTTTACAAAGATATTCAGCCGTTGCATCAAGTTTGGCCGCTAAATCAATAATATAAATGGAATCCTTGGTAATCACTATAAACCAAAAATATAAAAGTATCAAGTGTTAATCCCAATTTTTAGATGAATAAAATCAATGACAAACCTAATGGATTAATTTCCAGATAAGTAAAATATAATTGTACATATACTCGATATAGATCGACAATAAATTTTGTAACCAATTCACGTTTTTCCAATGGCATATTAATTAATAATTTATCATAAACTTCTTTTTCATCAATCGATCCATCGATTGGAATTTCATATTTTAATGCTTTTGAATCAACATCACCAATATCAACACCACCAAGATGATGAAAAAGTATAACATCAGCATTACGATATGAATAAATGCAAACATATGCTTCTTCTTCCGGTGTATGTGGAACAAATGGTTCGATAATAAAATTTCGAAGTTTACCAACTGATGAACCAATCTATAAGGTGATCAAACAAACAAAAAATTTAAAACCTAATAACAACAAAATAATAAGCAAACCTGAATATCTTTGCACATATGTTTATTAAGAAATTCTTTACAACCATTAAGATCGGTGCCTACTTTAACTAGGCCAAGTTTACCACGACGTTTTATTAATTGATCAGGTTTGATGACTAATTTCTGCAAATAAATATTTGTAAAAACAAAAAAAAAAAATTTCAAAAAATCAAAATTTACCTCCATTTTAAGCCATGCATTTTGCACGGCCAAATCTTTAAGATTTGCATTCTCATTCACCGATATAAAACGTGATGTAATGGCCGTAGAATTCAGAAAACGATTAAGTAAATCTTTACCGGTTGCTTCACATATAGCTTTTGCTGACATTTTTTTTTAAATTTAATTTATTTTATTTTTTGTTCTTTGGTGGTCTGGTTTGTTTGCTTTTTTTTGATTGCGATGAGAAAATTGAAAAATGAAACAAGAAAAAAATATTTCACACTTTTTTGTTTTATTCAACAAACAAACAAATTTCGATGTTTTCTTACAACAACAACAACTACGATGATTTATGGTTAATTTCTCTAAACAGAAGAAAAAAGTAAAGAAAAAGAAAAAGAAATGAATTATTAACTATAAATAATCATGGTCAACATTGTAATGGTGATGAAAGGAGAAGAAAGAAAAAAATGGTTTTAAAGATTTTTATATGAGGAAAATTAGACATCAGACCACTCTATACTGTAATAACAAACAGACAAATGAAAGAAAAGAAAACATAGATAAAAGATGTGCATGTGTTTGACTGTGGGTGATGGATGGCTGGATGAATTTGATTTGGCTGAAAACAAAAATGTCATCATAATAATCACGCGTTTTACATTATTATTATTTTAGTATTATGATGATTTCCAATAGTAACGGATGATTATATAAAAAATAATCAGACCATATTGGTGAGAAAAATGTATGTTTCTTAACAACAACAAACAAATAATAATCGATCGGTTATCTTTCAAAAAAACCACCGAAAAAAAAGTCATCCGATTTTGTTTTTCTTCTTCTGATCAACAGCCAACCAAAACAGAAAAGAATCGATCATCTAAGAATTTGATCGATTCCTCAGTGTGTATCGATCAAGCCAAAAATTCAATTGGAATTCAATGAAGAATCAAATGAGGAAAACAACATCATTTTCATTTTGGTTGTAAACAAGGAAAAAAAACTATTGAATTAAAAATTGCAACCAAAAATAGAAAGTTTTCTTTAAAGAAATCAATTCATCATCATCATATAACGTCATCATCATTATTAAAATATGAAAAGATAACGATATTTATTTATTATTTTCATCATCATCATCAAACTGAAAGAAAGAAATGATGATGCAAAAAAAAACAGAAAATAAATGGCCAAACACACAGAGATAGTCAAATGGTTAACGGTGTACGACGATTAGGAAATTTTCTTTTGCGTTTCATTGCTTGCGGCTTAAAATTGAATTGAAATCAATTTGTTTGTTCGGTTCGTTCGATGATGCTAAAGAAAAACTTTATTTACATTTTCTCTCTCTCTCTCTCTTTCTTTTCGAGTTGATGCAACTCAATAACGAATCAATTTTCAATTTCATTTGAAATTTTCATTTGTTTTTCTATTAGAGAATGGCGTCATCATGATCATGATCATCATCATTGTGCGATCAGGACATTTAAATCAGTTTAAGTACTTAATTTAATTTTTTGCTTTTTAATTAACTAACGTTTACGATGATGATGATGAAATGAACTAAATTTTTTCAAACTGAAAAAATAAATTTAAATAAAAATCATTGGAAAAACGGTACAACATTGTTATTCAACACAATCGTATAATTAAACGACGATGACAATTACGTAATTTTGATAATGATAATAACGATGATGAAAATGTTTGTTTTTTTCATTTCCAATCAATCACATTTCCCTTTCACCAAAAAAATTTTTGTTATTAATGTTTTACAATGGGAAAACAAACGTCAATGTTTTTTTTTATTCAATGGAAAATTTGATAAAAAGGGGATATTTTTCCTGGTTTTCCCATTCAAAACATTAGGAAAACTTCAAATTTTCGCTTGAAATTAGGAATTTTTCTTCAAAAAATAGACAAATAAAACCGCTTACTTTTTTTAAAATCAAGAAGATAACTATTGGCGCCAAATGATTATACAAAAAAACAAAAATTGTCGAGATAAATCAATCAAATAAATAACAACAAAAATGAATGAAAAGAAGGCAAAAAGAAACGAATTACACATTCATTCGAGTACACGTAAACAAATTACGTGTGTGTGGTGTGTGTGTGCGTGTGGTAATATAATCGATGATTATTGATGATGATGATGAAAAAAAGGTGAGAGAAATCAATGTGTGTGTTCGAGAAAAAAAACGACATTGAAAATGGATGATGATAAAAGAAGAAGAACCGCTAATTTAAATCAAAGATCAAGTAAGAAAAAAGCAAAAGAAAAATGGGGAAAAAAGTTTCATGGGAAAACAAACAAAAAACTTGAAAGAAATAAGCCAAAAAAACACGCATACACTGTATGTAAGTATACTGTTTAGCAGGTAAAATAATAATGTCGTTAAAAGGATAAGGATTAATGGATTAATGGATTGAAACACAAAAAAAAAGTCTCAAAGAAAAGATTTAAACAACGAGAGATTTACCCAGAATGGATGATCCCCACAGAACCAAACAGGAAAAAAAACAAACAAAATTGTTTTGTTGTTCACTGATGATGATGATTAAGCAGAAAAAAAAGTTAATTAATTTACCAATATAAGGTTACAAAATCAATAAGGTTAATCAATCGAATCAATCGATATTTGTGTAAAAATAAAACAATCATTCACCATGAGATTAAAATGAATTGAATTGAAAAGCAAAAAAAAAAAAAAAAAAACATTTTTCAATTAGCAAATGATGATGATGATGATGATGGCAATGGGAACATGGGTCAGGTATTTTTTTT